ACTCTGACTTTTTCTGCATGAAAATGTTTTGGGTTTTGTTTTTTTTTTTTGCACATCATCTTTGTGTGCTGCCGCGAAGATTAAATTTTTTCAAATAAAATACACCATTGATTAGTAAAATTGATTAAAAGGACTAATGAATATGAAGTGTCACAGCATGTCACTAGAATTTCACAGTATTTTTTATGCATACTGTAATGCTGACTCTAAGGTAAGAGTCCATCTAATTCACCTGAGATTTGGGAAGACCTTACTTGCATGTGATTTGTCACACACCACACAATCACAGACAGAAGAGAAAGTCTTGCCTTTCGTTACATAGCACTCTGTGCCTGTATTGCTTACAAAGAGCTATTACTCAAGCTTTTAGAGTTGTTTTCCAGACATTACATTGTTTGTCTACTGTTATTAAAACATGGAGCACGACACAGAAAGTAAAGCTGACACTGTAACCTAGCACAGCACTATATTACACTCTCTGGAGATAGGAATACCTGCTGCTGCAAAAATTAAAGAGCTATTGCCTTGTAATATTTGTATATTTTCTATTTTACATTTGCTGGATTTTGCTGTGAATACACAAATATTTAAAGATGATGTCTTGTCCTTGCATGTGCCTTTTAGTCAGCCTGAGATTTCCAGTCAGACTGTTATTCAAGCACTATTCCAGAAGCACTTGTTCAAAGGCAGATTAAATACAGAGGTGCTAAGCAAACACTGATGCTTAAGGCTTGTCTCAGCTATGCATTATTCTAAAGGTACTAATGCAAATGACCACACGAATATTATCAAACACATAAACCTATTTAAGAGGAACAGATATAAACAAAAAGTGTTTATCCAAAGGGCCAATACCAGTTTAAATAACTGGTAAGTTTATGCATACTGCACCAGTTTGTTAATAAGTAGTTAGTGTGTGATAAGAAGTTCACTTTGTAGCCAAAACTGTAGTGCACAATTTGGCTGGACTCTTGTTGTTGTTGTCCCCAGATCCACGTTCTCTTATAGCACTTCAGTGAATTACTGCAGCACAAAGAAAGTTCTTACAAATGACTCATAAGTAACTGAGTCCAGATAGCACAAGTCCAAGGGGGAAAGAGCTCTTCCTTTATTAAAAAGAATTAAAGCATTTAATGACCTAATTAGAACCTTCTTGCTAAACAATAATAACAAATATTTGCTGCCATAAAATAGCAGACACTGCTGTTAGACTCTGCCAAGCACATACCAGGGTAAAAGTAATATACCCTTGTGTTCAATACATGCCATCAGCACCAGAACAACTATGGTTAACCAACAGCAGACCTTAAAGGAAGCTTTATTATCCAGCTAATTGTGCTGCTTACACTGAAGTTTAAGGACAGAATTGTGGAAAATAAACTACATGTCATATTTCCACCTTGGAAACACAGATTCATGCCTCTGAAATGAGTTAGTCCAGCCAATGATCCTACCCACTTTCCTCATATGGAAGACTGAGCTTTAGACTTAAATATCTGCTTCAGGAAGGACACTGGCTTAGTCTTTTGCAAGGACAAGACAAGCCTTTAAATATTTATGCATGATTGCTGTACCCAAAAGTGTAGTCTCAGATATATTTAACACCAAATTAGTAATTCTGGCACAGCATTCAGTGATCATGAATTTCTTTTATTGCTTATGTCTGTGGTCTCAAGCCTTTACAAAGCTTTGCTTAATGAGGGGCAAGTGAGAGGCCATGTCACAAAACTGAAGCTTTGTAGCACAGTAGCAATGGAGGCCAAGAAGAGGCAAATCCATCCTCTGTCTCACTTGCTCACACCTCCCCAAAAAATTAACCTTGAGGACCAAAGTGTCCCTGCCTTGGGATGTGGCTATGAAATATACGGGGATGGGAGGGAGATGGGAGAGGAAAAAGGGGGTAAGGTGGGAAAAAGCATCTTCTGTGAGACACGTGCACTGCTAAGCATCAGCACCTTGTTTGGGTTACAAACACACTTCCAAAGCAGTCATGGTTTCCTCCCTCCACTGGAAAAAACACTGGAGTTACAACCTAGGATGTCATACCTGTCAAAGCACCTGTGGTGCTCTGACCAGTGCAGTCTTTGCAGAGAAGAACTGTGGGCTCAAAAATGCCTGTGGACACCCACAGCACAGCTCCAATCCCAGGGTCAGGGCTCTCAGCAACTGGGGGGCTTACCCAGACTGCAGGGCAGAAATGCAGTACAAGTCTGCTCTCTCTCCCTCTCCTCCAGAGGGACAGGAGGGACACTGCCCTGCTGTTGTGGAGCACCTTTTTCCATTCTTTCCAAGCACAATCAGTTGCAGTCCCAATAGGGGAAGACAGTGAAATGAAGGGAAGAGTAGGGGTGATTTGGGGCAGATGAGAACAAGAACACAAGCACAAGAACAGGAATCCCATCCCAGTTCCAAGGAACTGGGAGTCTCAACCTGTTCATAAATTACTCTTACATGCTACAGAACAGAAAGTTGCATTAGAGGCCCACAGATCTTGGTTCTTCTGCATTTAGAACCATCAGCCCCACAGGTCCTGTTACAAAAGCCTTATTTGTAAGGACTCCAAATGACCTAACACCTGACCTAACACCTGATTTTTTTATTTTTTTTCCCCTCTAACTGCAGGAGGGGAAATGAGCCAGCATCTTTTGCCCCACCCCGTAGATCTGGAGGCAGAAGAGTAATTGAGAATGCAACAGATGGAGCTGATGACGAAATGGATGCCAGAGATGGAGATTTCAATGGAACAAAAGCCAGTGAATAAACACGCTTAAAAAATTGCACTGCAGCAGGGGGAGGGAAGATGATATTTAGCACTGTATAAGTCTACTCTTAGTGTCAAGGTCACGTACACCCACTCCTCTGACAGATAAAAGCACAACTGCCTTGTCTCCAATGTATAGACTGATGTTAAAAGTACTCCAAAACTTATTTTACCGGGAAGTGTATTTGAAAAGGTGGGGTTTTTTTAACAGAGTAATTCACTTTGAGAATCTTCCAGAAAGTGAGCACTAGTAGCTCAAATGACTTAAATTCCAGTGAACTGTAGTCTACACAGGATTTGTTAAGACTGTTGCAGGGGGAAAAAAAAGGCATTGGTCAGTTAATCTTTTCTTAAACTTTCATTTTGAGTATTCAATTAATATAGGGTTTTCTCCTGGTTACTACACCCCTGATGCACAATTCACAAGGTGGAAGTGCCTTTTTAATCACTTACTGAAAAATATCATTTGTTCAAATTAAGTCAACTGTTACAGTTTTATATGCACCATGGATGTGCTTACACACTAATAAAAGGCTATAAAAACGACTCCACTATTCTCATGTACAGGTGTCACTTGGGTGCAATACAGCTTGAACAGAATGGGGGATGCAGGAGAGCTTCTCTAAAACTGAAATACTTCTTAGAAAAGGTCACCTGTAATCATCAGAACAAAACCTTGATTTTCTCCTAAGCAGTTGCTTTTGAAGAAATACAAAACAGTATGTACACTGAGCTGGAAGTAAGATGATGTGAAGTGCTTGGGAAAGGTTTGATTACCTCAGGGACACACGGTGGTGCCCATGAATGTACCCAAAGGCTGACAGACATGACACCAGACCTGCAGGAGCTGGAAAGCAGACTGGACCCTAAGTGTCTGTCTTTAGGCAACTGAATCCACCCTTGATGTCTGCTTTGTGTAGAAATACTTCCAGCTAAAGCCTCTAACACAGGCTGAAAACATAAACAGCAGCTCACACTGAATGCAGGAATCCACACCAAGCTGTTCTGCATTAAGGGATCAGCACACAATTACTTTTTTATTTTTGGAGCACTTCAACAAGACCACAACCTACTCCTGAGAATTACCAGGACCTACCACAAAGCCATGCAGCTCAAGCACTTTCAGACAGCAGCAGCTTTGTGGTCACAGTGGGGCAGTAGGGAGCCACACACAGCAAAGCAGGATGTAAAATGACTCTAAATAGAGTACAGAACTTACTTGATGCCTTCGATTGAACAGCAAGTGAACCTTAAGCAGTGTGACCACAGGGAGAGCAAATCATGCAAAAACATCCACCTTGACAGCTAAAGCAATCATCTTCTAAATCTAAGCATTGTTCCAGAAGGTACAGAGATCACAAACTGGAGATTCACACTAGGCACTGTTTAGCCAGCAGAATTCAGAGCCCAGAGAATTGTCTCTGCTCATGAAAGAGTAAAGAGGAATCCATTTAGAGCGACTAAGATGACAAGCTGCAGCAGAGGGGGGTGAGGAGCTTCACATAAGACTGTTTCACTGCTAGCTCAGGCACACAGCCCAGCTCTGTAAAGATGCCTGAGAGCTGGCTGTTAAACACACTTTGGGAGCCTGCATGTGGGAACAAGGAGACCGAGCAAGTCAGACTCCAGAACCATCAAACTGAACATGGAACCCTTCAAAGAGGAATTCTTTTAGAAAATCCACAAGCATAATGGTAGACATTGGTCTGATGGTCAAAGCACTGCCCTACCACTTCAGAAACTCAGGTTCCAGTCCCTCTTTCACAAAGCTTGTGACAAAACAGGGAGTCAGAGTTGCTTTGGTAACAACACAGAAAGGAAAGTATCCTTCTGCCACAGCAGCTGAACTAAAAGTTCCTCTCCCAAATAAAAGTTCCTCTCTGTACCATTACAAAGGCAACTGTTCTGGACTAAATTATTTTGATGATTATCAATAGCATTGTCCCTTGTCCAACTGCAACAGAGTGAGAGGACAAAAATTCTGAGTTAAAGATTTTAAGAGAGAGAAATGCCAATGGTAAGCACTTTAAATTCCAGAGGAATCTTTAGCTATGGCAATATTTACATTCCTTAGGGTAGGAAAGAATGAGAAGAAAGATATGTAGGAAAATCTTTGCGTGATTCAGCAAAATCAACAATATCTCTTAATTGATCAGAAACAGATGAGAAACTGGTAGCAAACCTCTGTGTATAAACCACAGTAACAACTTGCAAGAAAAACTCAAAATGCATCAACAACTAGCATTCAAAATAAACTTTATTCTGCTCCCCAGTTAAGCCAACTTTGTAGGTGGACTGAAGAATGGAAATGATCTGTGGTTATTTCATATTCCAGAGAAATATGCATCAGTGGCTGTTTTCATAGCATTTTCTTAAAAAAACCCCAAACAAACAAAACCCAAAAAAACACCAAACCCATTTATGTATTCTTTTGTCAAGTAAGCTCTCCCCATCCCCCCCCAAAAAAACCACCATAAAAATTGTTTAGTCATGATTACTTTTGCAAGTAGAGGCTTCCATAAAATACATCAACACTGTGAGTGAACCTACTCCATTTGAAAAACAAATTCAAATGCAGTAATATTCTACAGGGGAAAAAAGCAATTTAAAAATAATTCTCTACTCATATACACTTGTCTAGCATAAAAGACTTTTCAGATTAAAAAACCATTTCTATATTAGTAACAGCTGAAAGCATATATTCGCATAGAAAAACAAAACAAGAAAAAAATCACTAACACCCAAGGCACATTAATAAAGGGAAGTTAGTAAAGCAGTAAAACCCATCTGTCAAGATGTTAGAACTAGAAACTTAATCAGGTCTCTGGCTTCCTACAACTGCTAGACTTTATGGGTCAGAAAGAAAAAAAAAAGATATGTTAAGTCACTCTCAAGTTCCTCACCTTGCTCTGGGATCTCCTGAGCACTCAGCACTGGGAATGTCTCACATTTAACCATGACCTGTTCTTAGTGGCAAATCATTGCTTACAGAAACATCTTGCCACTACAGAGCCAGGGTTTTGTGCAGCAACATTAGGACCAAAATATCCCACAAGGAGCTGAGCAGCTTCCCTGCAGAAATACACCTTTCTCCACATAAAAACACTCCCCTGATTTGGGTGACTGCAGCACACAACACCCACGACAGAAAGCACAATTCAAGCCAGAACACCCTGGTCCTGTATTAACACTAAAGCCAAAGCCTGAGGGGATGCACATAGGGAATACTGTCTTTGCTGTAGGTAGAAGGGCAGTGGCTTTGGCAGTGTCAAAAGAAGCAACCTTCAAGGAGCTATTTACAGCAGCTGATGCAGGAAGCAGTTCTCAGTCCTGCAGTGCCAGGCAGCATTGCTTTGTCACACTACCCACCCACCAGACTGGGCAAGGCCGCAGGAGGACAATTGTAGCTCTGTGTTCAGTTCTCACCTACCCTGAGACTGCTGCCTGTTTGCTCATTGATATTCTCTTTAAAACTAAAGTTTGAAATATACATTTTCTTTTCCTTTTCCAAAGCCAGCCAGGCTTTTCATAGCAGCATCTTGACAACACTTTGTGAGGGATGGCTCATTGGTCCTGGAATATTTGAAGGCCGTGTTCCAAACTCCAGGCGTTTCGCTAACCTGCAAATACAAAATAGGAGTTGGTGCATTTCTTGCTCAGTGTAACCAACTTCAAAACAACTGCTCACTTCCAGAGCACACCACTGAGCTTGAGAAACAACAGATGAAAGAACAGCACTCTGAGCACTAAGTGAGCCTGTTCCTTAACTGGGCTGAGTTTCCACTGTAACACAGGGCTCTGTTTCCCTTCAAGTAGCAAGCACTATCTTTTACAGGTGTTGGAATTTCAGTTCTAGCATTACAGTAGTACATATATAATCAGATGCATGAATAAAGTAAGCCCCTGAGGCTTTCTTGTAGGAAATTCCATGAAGTTTCTCCCCTTGGATAGATAGTTCTATGTGGAACACTCTTTCCACACGACAACACTGGGCACTGGGTGACAGGACAAACCAGTACTCACAGTGCAAGGGTCTAGATGAATAATTAAGTCTGGAACAAACTGTACTGTTGGCACTTAATTTAAAGAGAACCAAAAGAATGTGCAGTACAAGATTGTCTCTACCAAAACAAAGATTCAATACTAAATACCAGGCCCTAAGTTCTAACACCAGCAGAGAGCAGCACTCACCCTGTGTCACAGAGAGGCGGGTGAGGACTGAGGTGCGTTTCAAGGACATCTCTGTTCATGTACATGGACACCGGGGTTCTGTTTGGAGACTGGTCATACACAAAGTTTCGGCAAGATGCAAGTTTGGACTCCAAAGCCTAATTTAAACACACAAGTGTCAGATTCACCCTTCTATTTCAGAAGACGGCACTGTGGCACACCAAAACTGCATTAAGTGTGTGGGTTTGGGGGCTTTTTTCTTTCTTTAAGAATGAGTTGTCCAGTGGTGGAACCTGCTGACCCCAGTGACACATGAGTTCTGAATTTTTGAAGAGAGGAAAACAGTCATCTCTCTAAAGCTAAATCTCTGTTTCTGTAGGGAGCTGATGCTCTTTACCAGCAGAACCACAAAATCTTCAGCTTCCTCAGGGAGATTTTGACATCTTTCTTACAGGTATCACTTTTCAGATTACTAAATGTTCATCTGAACTATCTGCTTCCCTAGACACACAGCAGGCTGTATGTATTAAGTGGTACACCAGAGGGAACTGAGCCAGAGATACCCTATTCTCCACCACATGCTCCCTTCCTAGATCACTCCACGTTTATTGTGAGTTACTTTTCAGCTGTATCAGTTCTGCAGCTCAGCCCAGCAGTCATACAAATGCTTGTAACAACACAGCACCAAGGGACAAGGAAGAAAACAGGAGTCACGGGATAACTTCCATCATCAGCATCACCTTAAATATCAAACTATAGCTTAACAGGACATTAGGCCTTGCTCAGAAGACTACTGGGCTCTCAAGGCAAACTTCAGCAGAAGCCCTTTGGACAGCAGGCACCAGCCTTCTTTCATCTCTGTCTTTTCCAGGAGCAGATCCCTTCTTAATTTCCTCATGCCAATTTACTCTTTCTGTACGTGCACTTACAGAAATTTGTAGAGGAGATTTTATCCCCATCTGGATTAGAACTTAGAAAAGCAGAGCAAAGTCCATCTTTATTTGGGGGTTGGTCAGAAACATACGAAGTCCAGGGCAATTTCAAGGCCACATTTAGCTAACTGGGGGGCAGGAGGCTCTTTCCAGTCTCCCCTGAACAGCAGCACAAATAGTGCTGGCAGCAGTTTCCAACAGCTCCATCTCTCCAGGAGCCTTGGCTGGCAGGAAATCACTCACCCCCACTTTTCGCAGCAAGTCTCCCACAATATTAAGTGCAGATATTCTTGCAGCAGGTGTGAGAGGGGTTGCACCATAACTGTCCTCCAGACCTGCAGGGCAGGTTAAAGAACGTTACTCATTTAAAAAAAAAAAAAAGCTTTGACACTGGAAGTCAGCAGACAGCCTGACAGCAATATCCTCACCTTTTTGTATCTCACCTCCAGATCTTTCATATCCATTAGGAATATGAAGCACTGCCTTCCTGAGACAGCTCATTACACTAAGATGAAGTCTCTAGACATGTTGTGGCTTGGTATCTAGAGATCTGTTCTACCAGCCTGCTCTGTCTCTGTTGCTGCAGTGGGACCAGAGGGATGTGTCCTCCCAGAGGATCATCATTTACCATTTTAGTACAAATCTCCAAATCCTCTCACTTCTACAGAAACAGTAATTCCTTCACACAAAACATATCATTTTAGGTTAAGGATACTGAAGTCCACAAACTTTGTTAGTGCTCAGAGCTATAATATCAAATCATCAGACTGTGACAGTACCACTCCCGGCACTTTATGCATGAACACAGTTACAGACATTTCTGGCTTTTAAATTAAGGAGAATTAGCGTGAGAGGTTTGAAATATAGAAACAATCAATGCTCACAAAAAATAAGTAACAATATAATTGACCTGAAAGTAGAGATATTTAGTAAAGACAGATTGGATGACTTGTCAGTGTTCTGCTGTTCCAGAGAGAAAAAAAAGTCTCTCTCAAAGAGCACTTACTCTCTCAGAGAAGACAATTCAAGTAACGTGAGTGTGACATTAAAAGATCACACAGGCTTTTAAAACCTTTCCCCTAAATTAGACCAACATCTCTGGGACAGTTGTGAACCAACAGTAAAGTCCCAATAGCTCATCTTACCCCTCACAATTATTATTACTGGACAGTGCAAGTCAAATGGAAATGAATAGCCCAGGAATAAACTCCAAAAATCAGTCTATGAATACAGAGACCATGGTGATTGGATTTAGGTGTATTTAACTGAAACACTCAACCCTCTTCCCTTCTTTTCATTCCTCCTTTAACCACAAACTATAGTAAAAACGAGAGCATCAAACAGTATTTCTGGTTCCCTGTCAGTCACCTCTCCTAAACGTCACAGGGGTGGGGATGCTGATGGGTGTCCGGCGCAGGGAGGGGGTTGAAGGCACAGACAAGGAAGCCTGAACTGCAGTGTCTGTTCTTTCTGCTTCCAGGGTCGCCCGCATCGGTGTTTTGGGTTTCTCCTGTTTCTGCTGCACTGCAAGCTCTTGGCGCAGGTCTGTGAAGGAAGCAACACAAAGCAAGCCTTTGGAGTATGTATCCACCCAGATAATCTTTTGCTCATGGAGGTGAAGTCAAGTCACTTATGCTTGTAAAGACTACTCCAGGCGTACCTTCAAAATCTGGATGATAACTAAAGGCCTTTCCAGGATTGTGGCTCAAGATGTTTTGGTATTATTAGCTCAGTTGCTACTACCTGGCTTTCATTTTCATACTCTTTACAAGGCTCCCCTTGAGACAGGGAATTAACTCCTTTCCCAAAGTTACAGGCTGGTAAGCAGAGGCACATCAAGTCTGAGGCTCAGCAACTTGGCACACCTTGGCTACACTCCAGCTCCCTGCAAGGCTGAGATCCCACCTATTGTACTCTTTTCTAGTCTGGTTTCCACATGAAAAAAACTTGAGCTGAGGCCAGGTGGAAGCTACACAGTTATCTAACCAAGGGATGGAGCACTTCTGTCCCACAGCCTGGCTGTAGATTATAGATACCACTCAAGGGCACAGAATCCAAGTTCTGAAAATAGACATTTCTCCAGCTCCAAGGTCTCTCTCTTCTCACCCAGCCTTATTGACAGTTATCAAGAAGCCAGCACGTGAGGCTATTCCAAGACAACCAAAAGTCAGTCACAGCCCTCCCGTTTTACTTCCCCATTAGTGCTTCACTGACTCCCCTTTTAACAGGCCAGGAAACAATAAGGTTAGTGCATATTAAAGCTGACCTTCACGTGTTACAGGCAGCCAGACCAGCACATGCCCCAGCTGGACTGGCTCTTTTCAACTCCCTAAGGCCCTGAAGCATGACCACAGATTAGGAGAAGGCTGGAATAGACTTTTGTTGCTGTGATCTGCTCTGGAACAAGGTCGGGAGTTCAAGGAGTGGGAGTGGAACAGTCTTAAGTTTCCTTACTTGCTTCTACATTTCAGATAGCAGGTTTTAAAGATGTAAACTTAAAAACCAAGCTCTGAGATATATAGAGAGGACTGAACAGCTACAAGCCAGGAGGGGGCCAAGGGAAAGACACAGGTAATTTCTGTCTAACCTCTAGCTTCATCTTTCAGGCGCTGCACAGACTCCAGAAGGTTTTCCTTCTCATCCAGCTCACTCTCCAGAAAAGCATTTCTTTCAATAGCCTGGTTTAAACGCTGCTCAAAATCCTCCAGAGACATTATAGTGGCTCTGAAAAAGAGTGCACAAGATGTTACTACCATATCCTTCAAGAACATAGAGGATGTCCTCACTGAGAAGAAAAGGGATACTGTTGCATTTTTGTTTGGTTTGCTTTGGTTTATTATTATTTTTTATTTTAGCTTGTAAGATATGAAAGAGTGTAGTGGGGGGAGTAGAAGGGGAAAAGTAAATTTATCACATTTCCCATCTGCTACCAATCTCTTCAACACAATCATCACTTCAGTGATTAGTTCAGAATGGCCACACTAATGAGCACAGTACCACAAACAGCTGTTTTCCACCTCAGGACAGAACAGAGGTAGAAAAAGAAAACACAGAAAATGGGTCACCTTTTTGCTCTTTCCAAGTCATCATTTTCTTGCTCAAGTTCTCGAATGTATTTCTGAAGCTGATCTTTAATAGCTTTTGTCTGTGCCAAGTCATCTTCCAGCGCAGAGATTTGCCTGTATCCTTCTGAATGCTGCATTTCAATCTTTTCCTAATCAAAGGCAAATCAAACAGCACACCAGGTACTTAGCAACACATGTTCTCTTTCTGTGCCCTTGTCTGAGCTCCTTTAAAGGCAGATGTTCTGAAGTTTTTTATCCCTTTAGATACGATAAAATTCCAACAAAGCCAATTGTTCACATACTTTTGAGCTGCCAGCAGTCAAGAGCTCTTCCTGGCACTCCTTACCAAACAACGGTGCTGGGGAACATTCCCTGATCATCACAACTCAGGGCTATTCCTTGCCCCTCCCAGACAGCACAACTCAGCATAATTTCTGAGCCCCGAGAGTTTTAGCAATACACAAAGCAGGATGCAAGAGAATTTTCAACTCTGATATGAAGTACTTATGAGTCAAAATAACAAGAAAAAAAAAATCCAAGTGTGACACTGTCACATGCTGCTGTGGAATCAGCAAGATTCTGCATTTCCCCCAGGGTTTTATTAGCCCAAAGCAGGTTCAGAGTTATACTTTGGATGTGAACCTAAACCAAACTCTGTCTCCCTTTATAGCATGAATACAAGGGCACACTTAAGAGAGGCAGAGGTGAAGAGGAAGGCTTAGCTTCTACATTAGATCTCTCTCTCCTGCACTGCCACTGTATATGGGTTAGTTCCACAGCACGTGACAGGGAAAGCTTCACAGCACACTGTCTATTATGACACTTTATACTCCACCAACTTGCTATCAGACCACTTCAACATGCCAAGATTGCTGTATAAGCAGCATTCCTGAAGTGCTCTCCATCCCGAATTTAAGTACAAAACACTTGAAGTCACTGAAAACAAATGCATGCACTGGAATTTGAAAACCACGGCCTACAGTCTAGTGAATGGTAATTTGAAGACAGCTATTTTAGCACATAAATGCACAGACAAGGAGGAGGGAAAGAGATACCCATTCTCAATTAAGAAATTATTTTATTACAGTGTGGTGACACTGCTATAATTCTGGATCTCTGAAGCTCAGTTAAGAGCCTCCAAGAGACAGATTACTTCCAACTAGCTACTCAGGACTCTCTAAACAAACCCTCCAAAGCATTATTTCCATTAGATTTTAAGTAGTGTGACCACTGGTTTCTGAGGGGGGAGCAAGCACACACACATTAGGCTGGTAAGCTCAAAGCCACAAGCTGTGTGGGCCTGGCAAAGTTCACCAGTGCTGACCTAGATGCAGACACCAACCCTTGATGGGCTCAGTTAACACTGCTGCTCAATAGCTTCGAGATAAATGCTTTGCTCTTGAATTGATTCAGATAAAAGACCAGAACTGCAAGGTCTGGGTCTTTGTTTTTAGCCAATTGTAATAAACTATCAGCTGATCTGGCCCTCAATGGTGGCTCTGTTCCTTCACCACAGGCTGTTACTGCAGTTTTGAGGCTGCATGAATAGCCAATTGTTAAATGGTTTATTTCAAGCAAAATACATTTATCTACTATGAAGAATAACTTCAGATTTTCTCAAATATGGCTACCCTTCACTTTCTGAGTTATATGTTGTTTCCTACTATTTTCATTCTGAACTGCTTTGGCTGGTCCATTGTCCCTTCCTCCTATCCCAGCTACTCTAGAGAAAGAAAACAGTCTACACACTCTTCCATCCAATGAACTACAGGCTTTATTTTTGTCCGACTTTTGTCTTCTCCCCAAACCCATCAGCTTCCATAGGTTTATGTGGCTACATGGAACAGCAGACCAATACTCCATACAACACACACAACATTTAATACTGCTCAGTCACTTCAACAACAAGAACAAAGATCAATGCAACATAACAAATATAAGAAACAAACTTTGGAGGTCTTGCTATCAAAAAGCAGCAGGGGGGGAGAATTGCTAAGTTGGTGCTAGAGGGACAGGATATCTGCCTCAAATTTAAGAGTATTTCCTTAAGACAGTAATTTGTAAAACAGTTTAAACAAAAGGCATTGCAAACATGGATTCATCCGGTGATTAATCCCTTATACAAATACCTTCACTCCCATTAGCTCATTATTGCATCCAACTGAGTAGAAGAAGTGTAATTACATTAATCTCTGCTTCCACAGGGATCGACCCAGCCCTACAAAATACTGTGTAGTGTTTCTTGAGTGACTATAACTCAATCTGTAAGCAAAAGGCCTAGAATCAAACTTTGAAAAGGCACACCCATTTCAGTGACAATTTTTTTCCAAATTTTAAAAAATATACTAGTATTTCCTAAACCTGCCAACCAGTACAGAGGACTAGCAGCACCTTTGATGAGACTGAAATGAGGCACTCATCACTCTTCATACCCTAGATAGCTTCATTATTTCTTAAGTCACTATGGTAAGAAGTTCCATCTCAATAAGTTCATATCCTTTATGTTTTATAGTTCTGGAAGTTAATGCCTTCCTGCTGGTTCTTTGATTCACAGAAGGCCAATCAAGTGTAAAAGAGGATAACTTATTTTTCCCCAAGTACTGATAGATTCAGTAAAAAAAACAGGACTGAAACTGGTTTATGACTCTCAGTTCTATGGGTTACCCACTGGCTGCTGCTTCCCAGCTTATCTGGAATGCCAGATAATAAATACACAACTATGTAAAAAGGGTTTAAAACTTCTGAGTTTTCTTAGGTAATGCAAAAACGCAGCTGCAGTGTTTGTGTTTTGATTGTTCTGCAATATTATCTGTGCCTGTGTAACACAGACAGCAAGAAAGCTGCGAACAAAAGCATTAAATAGACAGAAGAAGAAATAGGAGCAGCAGCTCTGTTATGTTCACGCTTAGTCTCCACTCTACTGTGAACAATTTTCTCCCATATGAAATCTATCCTGACACAAAGCCACAACCTGTGAACAGGGGTGCAGGAACACCACCAAGGAATCCAGAACCCTCAAAGCAGAAATCACATTGGTATTTCTTAATTTTTCAAGCTTTTCCTTTCTGCAGTTTTCTGTTCAGTTTCTTGGTAATGCTGAAGCTTTGCCACAAGGCAGGCTGAATCTGCACGTGCCTGTCCCACACCTCTGCACTCTGGATGTACACATTCCATAGGCACCATCCCCTCTTACCTTCACTGACTCCAGCTCCATCCGCAGACGGTTGTTTTCTGACAGAAGGTCTCTGTTTCTGGACTCTGTTTGCTGCAGCTGAGTCTCCAGTTCAGCTTCATACTCTCGACTCCCTTCTTGGAATTCACGCAGTTCCTCCTGTGTATTCTCAGCACTAGAGAGCAATTCCAGCAACAGAGCTCATCATAATGAACAATGAAAAAAAATATCTCTTGTTCACTAAAGGTAAAAAAAATACTGCCCTTTAACACAGAAGGCTCTGTGCCCTTCTCCAACATATCTATTCAATAGGAAGAGAGAACTATATGCAAATGTTTCCCCATCGAGCATGGAAAGCATGTAGTGAACTTGTAAACAAATTAAAAAATCCCAAATAAACAGAAAAATCCCAAAGTCTGTCTTCACACTATACGTGTGTGTACATCCCTTTAGCTTGTAATTTGTCCCCTGCCATCTGCACATTTAATCTGTTATTTAAGTTCAGTTATTTATTTGGAAATACGAACAAAGCCATTATTGATTAGCAGTAAAAAGTGAGTAACAGAGAGAAAGATGGAAGGAAATGTACTCTCATATTCTTAAAACAATTCTACTGAAACAATCCTCTGGCAAGCTGAACAAGGAGCAATGAAAGGTCTGAACACCTGGTTGAGATCTTTGCACACACTGTCATGCACCCTATCCAATGAAGGAAGCCAGTGCCTTACCACTCCTTGTACTTCATAGCCAAATCTTTCCAGTATCTGGTTTCCTCCTCCACTGAGCTGAAGTGATGTTCTTCTGAGTCTTCCATGATGAGTCCTCAAAGTTTAAAACTCTTGTTTCATTTTTCCCTCCCTGGAAAATTAAAAGGTCAAGCCTAAGGCAGTGAGCTACCCCACTCCTTGTTGCTGCAGAGCACAACATCCCTCCTCCCCCACAGTCACTGCTTGCCTGGAGACCAAACTAAAGACCAGCCTTGTCAGGACTGTCAGATAGACCATAAATGGGAAAGAACCTCTGCTGAGTCACCGGGTCCCTTTCCCCACATCCCCAGCCATGAGCACCTTCCACACCCTCGGACTGCACAGCACAGAGCACCAAACCCCAACCTGAGCTGCAGCTGTGCCAATGCACAGAGAACAAAAAGCAAAGAAGGTATCTCAGGCACAACTTCAGCTCCAAGACACTGCAAATCAACAACCCTAAAGACACTTAGCATGAAATTAAACAGAAACTTTAAAGAGACACAGATAAGGTACTCAGAGATACTGATTTCCTGTGTTACCTTTTCCAGGAACATGTAAAGCTTTTTGTGGACAGAACTGCTGGAAACATGAAAAATTTCTCCCTAGGTCAATACAGACAAAGCTACCCACCTTTAAATCTGAAATATCACAACCCATGTATGGCTGAAAGCTACAATACATATGGATACCTCAGAGAGCCATGGGAGAAGGGAACTCTTGAAATTCTCAGAGAAGCAAGGATAAAAGCTCCCCAGAGGTTTTGGCAGAATAGCACCTGGCTGGGTTAGGTATGCAGATAGATTGCAGCAACCCAGTGTGCAATCCAGACCATCCAGCTGTCCCTGTGCCAGCATAAGCCCAGTCACAGGACACAGTCCCAAATGGGAATGACACATGAAAGAGCCACAGGAGAATCAGGAACCTCAGGGTGGTCACTCCCACTTGAAGACTTAAGTATCAAAACAACACAACTAAATAAATGCCCTATGATGTGCATGATGAACTCTAATAAATGGATCAGTAGCAAATATCATTTTATATGAGTCTCATAACATTTTATATTTAGTCTTAACAACAGAGAAACACCAAACCTAGTGCTCTGCATAATCTGCCCATGTCCAACCCTGGGTGTGGCAAAGATTCCACACAGACAATTTAAGAGAAACCAAATTGGATCAAGAAAGGCAAATAAAGGTGGAATTGAACAATTAATGACAATGCAGTTGTCAGAAAACTGTATCACTGAAATCTAATAACTGAAGGAACACAGTTCTACCAAGTTTCTGCTTCAGTTCTATGGAGCAAAACATTTCCAAGAAGTAATCCTGATGGAACAAGGAGAGAAAGACAGCCAAAGCCTTCAAAGACCACTTAGATGTCAGCCCTGCCTTCTATTCTTACTGTCATAGCTAAAGAAAATGTGCATCCACTGCACATCTCTTTAATTCAATGGAAAAAAATTATTTATAAACTGTGTCGAGATTTTCTCCTCCAAAAAAATCCCCTGGTGTAAACAGGATTAACAGCCATCTATCTAATAACTCCACTGAGATAAACCAAAGGAGTTCTTACCTCTCCTACAGACAAGAGTATCAAGTACCCTAAGTAGTCTGGCAATCTAAAGCCCTATTCTTACCAAGCAATGCCACAGCCCTTTTCCCAGCCCAGCAATTATCAGATTATTGAGCAAATCGTCACAGCTGAGTGGGCTGTGCCCACACACCTCAATGCACAGTGTCAGCTACACACTCACAGAAATCACAGTATTATTTAGAAAGGGAGCTGCCAGGTGAGGGGAAAAGTTACTAAGCTTTAGTTTTTATAATCGTTTGACACAAAACGTTCATTAGACAAAGCCACATGTCTTCCTTCTCACAAGCAAAACCACTGTGTGCTGTACTGACACACTTCCAGCATGAAGTCTCTGTATTTAAAGAAGTATGAACTGGGGAAAAAAAAAAGAGAGGAAAAGGAGTATGAGTAAGGAGGAGCGATTTTCCAAATAGTACTCTTGCCCATTAAAAAGGAAATAACGACCAAGCATAATTAACATTCTTGACCTAGGATAGTTTATGACACATCTACTCTGTTATTTTTAAGCAAACTGAAAGTGCCTTTGATGTTAATAAGCACGTTCTTATGCTCAAAGCACTGTGCACACATACCCCCCAATCCCTGCAGCACACTTGCAAAGAAAAAATCCAAAAAGTTATAATAAATCCCATATCTGTGTTTGGACAGTCCACAAAAATAATTCAGACAAGATAAAGGTGTAGTGCAAAACATCTTGCTCCCAAAAGCTTTCAAACAACCTTCTGGAACCAAAAGACACAGCTCCCATCGTCCTCAAAACTTTGAATATGCTCATATCTGGCTTTTACTTGTGTTTTTATACTGCACTTTGGAAGAAGTAAAAAACAGTACTAATTCATATTTTCTAAGATTGTCTGGTCACATAGAGAAGAACTTCCCTTAACTGAGCCACAAGACTTTCTGTAAGACTTTCACAGAACCTTGTTAACGTTCACAGAAGCACAAAAGGTGCCGTGCCCTCCGGTTTCTAGGGATGGCTTTGTAAACATGAGATTATTGACCCACTGAGGGTGTCATCCATTAAGAGCACACTCTGTTTCATGGTTACCATTACTAAATAGTACTTGTAATTTAAAATTAATTGTTGAACTGCAAATACATGGAAGGACTGTGGACCGGTACTTATTCCAGAGCCACAGGCAAATGTTTTCTGCCTGCAACACACAAGACCTATTAGTTCCCCTGTACACCTGCACTACATCTTAGTTCACAGGGATTTTCAAACTAAATAAAGATGCAAAATAGAAACTTAAACTGAAGAGAAATTTCCAAGTTTTAGACAAAGTATTACATCTTTTTTAATTTTTTTCTGAAATTTGTCTAAAAAGAGTGCAAGAACCACGTAAGTCTTTGTAAACTTCTTTTAAAAAGGCCAGGGCTCTGACTCTGTTTTTCCCCTGCTGCCTTCTCTGCTGGATTTTTAACACGTTGGAGACAACACACAAAATGCCTGAAGAGAAAGTAATTAGGAATTCCTCATTGTCTAGGCTCACTACAAAAGCAGAGAGGGCAAGGGGGGGTGAAGGAGATCTTAGAAATGCTTTGTTAAACACTGGAAAAAAGCAAGGAAAGAAAGTCACAGTCTGTAACAGGCACACACTGGCTGCACCTTACTTGTTTTAGCACACATGAAGCCAGAAGAGACATCTGGCCAGATTTCCTGAGTGCAGGCAGAACGAGGGCTCGTCCCAGGCATTACAAATCCACTACATCATGCAGGAAGTGGAAGAGTTCATGGGTGGGGACCGGACTTTTGCAAGGAGAAAAATACTACAGCATAAATGTTTGCAGGAAACAATTTCATACAAGTGACAGCAGAACTGCAAAATTCCCGAGGGGAAAAAAAAAATCACGAAAAGCCACACACAAAACTAGTGAAAGAACTCCAATTTGGAAATCACACTCTGAGTTCACCCAAACTCATGATGGCCTCAACTTAGATTCTGTTTCAGTTCTAAAACAAAGGACTCAAACCAACCCTGATACTGGACCTTTTTTTTAACAAAAGAACATTTTAGCTTGGTGAACAATGTTGGCCTATCTTTGTAGCAATGCCTAATAGTCCAAGTCAAAGAAATTCATACTTAATTAAAAAGTAAAATAGTACCACAAATACTACTGAATTATCCATGATGGAGATGATGAAGCTCCTAGTTAGACATATTTTCCAAACTGTAAACCAAAACCCCCTCTGTGCTCCTGAAAAGTTGCTTTCCCATCCTACAAAAATTACATTTGCTTAAAACAGTCCCCTTGAAAGGGTCCTCCTGTAACACAAGGGCCTATTTTCTTTTGTTTAAGCAATACAAAAGAAAACCACAAGAGAGAAAGAAAAGGGAGAGGTCACGGATTACTACAGAATCCCACAGCCAGCACTGAAAAGAGTTATCAGCTTCTCCGGGCTCTTCTCTGCCAAAGGGCTGAATTCAGCACAGCCCTTCTCAGTTACCAGCGCCGCTCCGACACTGTCTAAGCAAACTCCGCAGTTCTCTCCTGGAACGCCTGACCTTTACGTTTCCAGCTGCAAGCCAAGAGGTCAGCGAGGCAGCGCTCGGGGCTCCCCATTCCCATGCGGAGCACGAAGCCGGGAGGGAGCGAAACCAGCGGGCACGGCTCCCACGCTCCGCTCCCCTCCCCGCCAGCCCCCGCAGGAGGTTCAGGTGCGCACGGCAGGGCGCGGTGAGGGGCAGGGTGCCGGGTCCCTGTCCTCCCATTCCCGATCCCATTCCCGATCCCATTCCCGACCCCGGGCCCCGCTCTCACCGCTCCCGCAGCTCCCACCGCCCGCACCGCGGCTGCTCCGCCCCCGCCGGGCAGCGCCACCCCATTGGCTGCCGGTCACGTGCCGCGCGCCGCTCCGCCAATCAGCGCCGCCGGGACGCCGTTTGGAAAGGTTTGGAAACTTTGGTGACTTTCAAAAGGCGCCGGGGGCGGCGGGCACGGGCTTGGCACTGGCCCTGATCCCGATCCCGATCCTGGTCCCGGTCCTGGTCCTGGTCCTAGTCCTGATCCTGGCCCTGGTCCCGATCCTGGTCCCGATCTTGGTTTTGGTCCTGATCTTTGTCCTGGTCCTGGTCCTGGTCCCGGTCCTGGTCCCGATCCCGTTCCCGGTCTTGATCCTGCTCCCATTCCTGATCCTGATCTCGATCCTGATCCTTATCTTGATTCCATTCCTGTCTCAGTCCTGTTCAAGATCCTGATCCTGGTCCTGGTCCTGGTCCCAGTCCTGTTCCTGATCCTGATCTTGATCCTGTTCCTGGTCCTGATCTTGATCCTGCTCCTGATCCTGGTCCTATTCCTGATCCTGTTCCCATTCCTACTCCTGATCCTGTTCCCGTTCCCCATCCTGGTCCTGTTCCTGACTGTTCCTGTTCCCAGTCCTGCTCCCGGTCCTGGCCACACCCTTTGTCAGTGTTCCAGGATCTACAGTGGGTACCAGGGGCTGCATCTTCTGAGGTGTTAACTGTGTAAACCGGTGTAAACATGCCAGCAACGGCATAATTTTAAAGACATGATTTGCCTTGGAATGCCCTAAAGGAGGAAAAGCTTTACATCAACTTTTTTTATTATTGTTTTTTTTTAATTCCAAAGGCCTCTGCTGGAAAAGCAAGCAGTGAGACAGCACCTGTAACTATTTTTAATGCCAGCACAACATCCTTAGACCAAAGTCCCCTTTTCCCAA